CGGGCGAGGAGGCCCGGGCCCTGCTGCCTCGCTCGCGTTGGCTTTCTGGACTCCGCGTGTCTGAGCAGGGCCAGCTCCTGCCCGAGCGCGCTGCCCCTGGGCCCCAGGATGAAGCTGCCTGGTCGGGAGCCCCCGGCTGGCCCCCCTGTGCCAAGGATCTGTGCCGAGACTGAGCGGAGCATCCCGCAAGCCGCCGGGGCTCCGTGTGCTGTGTCTGACGCTGTCGCGACCGGAGGACTCCGCGGAGCAGAACCACCGGCCCGCCAGCAGCCTGCCCCTCCTGGAGCCACCCGGATGGGCGCCCTCGGGCCCTGGGCGGTGTGGGCCCTCTTCCTGGGCTGGAGGCGGCCCCCCGTCCCCATCACTCCTGTTCATACCTGCCCGCCACCCTTCCCGACAGGCGCCTCCCACCGCTCCAGTTCGTGCCAGCCCCAGACACCAAGCTGCCCAGGTGTGCACCCAGATGTGAGGACGCTCTGGGAGAGGAAGTGTGTCCTGCCTCTCTTCACCTGCTAGACCCCCTCCCCAGGGACAGCAGGTGGACCACTGGTCAGTGGGTCATATTCCAAGGTCCGGCTGGCAGCCCCCTCCACAGAGAAGCGGGCAACGGGAGCTTTGCCGCGGTGGACGGAGTACACTGGGCAGGGGTGTCAGCCCCCACGTGGTCTTGTGTCTTAAGGTTCAGTTCACTTTGAAAAAGGCAAGACTGGGCCGCCCCCGGGCCTGGGAGGATGGTCAGGAGAGGCTGCTGCGCTGGGCGCCCAGAGGTGCCTCCTGGCCTGGCTCGGCCTGCCCACCACTCGGGCGGTGGTGACCGCCGTGGAGCCAGGCTGGGGCCAGGGGCGGACTTCGTCTGGACTGTCCAGCTGTCGCGAGAACAGAGGGCCCGCTCACTAACCGCGTTTACACGGCCTGAGTGTGAACCCCAATTAAAACACCTGTCTGTCCTTTCCGGGCCCAGCCCTGAGCCCCAGGGGAGCAGGGCAGCCTGGCCTCCTGCGCTGCTTTGACTCTAAAATAAACTACTGAAATCAAACGCATCTCATGCGTGTTTACAAACGCTGCTAAAAAAGTGTTCCAATAAAACAGCTTTGCCATTTCAGTAAAATGCTGATCACAGCCTGCCTCGAGAACAGGCGGGGAGTGGGGTGTGGCACCCGCACCCGGGCCGTGTTGTGCTCTATATAACTAATTAATTATCCTCAGTCTTGGGGTCCAGGGCTCAGATAGCAGGGACTTCAAGCAGGTGCCTTCCTCGAGCCTCCCTACAGACGTGAGCTTGAACTTTGCTTTTTTGGGGGGCACCATAAAGGACCCAGTCTACAGTCCAGGGCTTGGGCAGGCTCCTCCTCCCTGGCCATCTCTGAAGGGATTTAGGGACCTGTGCCAGGGAGTACAGACAGGGGCAGAGGGTAAGGGGGTGTGGGCGTGAGGAGCAATCAGTGGGTGGCCCCAAGATAGCATCTATAGTCTTGGTTCCCCTCAGGCCGCCTGTTCCTGGCCTCGGGGTTTCTGCACCAGGGAAAGAGCCACTCAAACACAGTTGCCTGTGCAACCTGTGGGTCAGAGTTTCTAAAACCAGCAAGGGCCCAGGGGAAGGGGGCTCTGAGCTGGCACCCAAGGAGTCAGCCCTGGAGGGCGCTGTCTCATGCCCAGTCTCCTGCTAGGCCAGGGGTGGGCACGGTGGCCCTGCAGCCTCTCGCTGGGCACTCCCGCTTCCGGGCTTCAGGGGTCACCAGAGAAGTCTCTGGAGGCACCTGGGGCCGAGAGTTCTGCTGGCGGAGGTTTTGACTCTATGACGACGCGATTCCTGGTCCCCGGCTGTACACAGTGCTGGTGTCTGTCCTCCCAGAAGCACCAGGGCGGCCTCCCGCGTGGGGTCCTCTCTTGGGGTGACCCAGCTCCCTCTGGGTGGGTGGAGCTGGGCCTGAGGCCACCCAGTATTACCTGTCCAGACTCCAGTGAATGGGGCGTCTTTTCCGACGGGGAGAGGACCTCGAGTTACCCGGCTATCCGGGCACTACCCCAGGTGGGCAGGCTCGTGGTCTCAGGCAAAGGCAGAAGGAATCCCACAGCCCTCAGGAGATGCGCCAGGCCTTGAATGTGGGAGCAGCGGGCCAGACAGGCAGACCAGCAGGCAGGGAGGCAGGCCTGAGGGAGGTCGGGGGGCACCGGCTTCCCCGCCAGGCGTCTGTAGTCCTGGGTGTGCGTGCCCCGTGCTGCTGCTCCACCTGCTTTTTGCAGGACACGAGACGGTGTGGACAGTGAAACCGCAAAGGAGATCAAGGCCGCTCAAGTAGCAGCGGGGAGGTGAGGAAGGTGCCTGCAGTTCCCCACTGCTCCTACAGGGAGGGGCCCGAGAGCCTTCGCTGGACTCTGACTGGCAGCTGGGGCAGCCGCCCCCAGCCCGAGAGACCCCGTGTGCTTGGCTCAGCCCTGAGGCAGGTGGGTCCTTGGCTCCGATGTCCTGGGGCTGGATCTGCCCTCTTCTGCCCCCTGAAATTCTGACCCATCGCCTGGTGGGTCCCCGACAGCTCCCCTCCCTTCTCGTGCCACAGCTTGAGGGTCCCTCAGCTCCAGAGGCTTAGGGCTGAGCGCCAGCCTACCTTACAGGACACAGCCTGCTCCCCTGGGCTCCACGAGGCAGACAGGCCTCCTTGGCAACGCTCTGGCTTTACCTCCTGGGTCGCCCCCGGGCCTTGAGGCCGCACACTGCCCCGAGCAGGCCTGGGCTGAGCCTGAGACACAGCCAGCTCCCCGGCAGGCCTAACCACGACACGGCCTCTGTGCCGCTGCAGCCTTTCTGCACTGCAAGACCGCGGTGGCCCTGCAGTGACCCGCACATGGTGACCCCACACACACGTGACACCAGGGCCCTCGGGCTGCCGGGCCAGCTGTTGGGACAGTGGCTGTTTCCCACCACTAGGCCCCAGGAGACCACCTGGGGCCTTGTACCAGAAAGAGTGTGTCCCCCAGACTTCCAGACCTGGCAGCTTGGCTGGCCTGACCTTCCACAGCCTGGCGACCTCCTAGGACGGAAGTTGGACTCCGCCAAAACTGCTCTCTAGAAGTTTCAGCCAGTCTCATAGTGAGTCACTCGCCATTGTGTTGACGGGTCCAGGTTTATGTCTGCGTTGTAACAGATGCTGTTTGCTGCAACCCTGCTCACAACAGTGTTCAGCAGAGTCCACACTGCCTGCTCCATGGATGAGATTTGGGGGGGCAGCCGGGGGGAGGTCTTTCAGAACTAGGCGTCCTGGGTTCCCTGTTTGCTAAATGGTCCTGGTGGGGGCTGTAGACCTGACCGACTGACACACAGCCAGCGTGTTCATTTCTGTGACTGTCAGGTGCAGTGCGAACCTGTCTGAAACGTGAAGTGCCTAGAGCCACAGCATTAGGGTCCCCCTCGGCACTTCAGGGGTGGGCATTGGCAGGGTGCAGCCCCTCCTGGCCTCCAGCAGAAGCCCAGCCAGCCAGGGCCCCGCAGACTCCCATCAGCACTGCCAGCCTGGTTTTCTGGGCAGGTCTGGTGAGGTGGTAGCTGTGAGCCCCACTTCATAAATAGGACACACTCCAAGTTGCCGGGAACCCCTGTCCTAGCTCTCCTCCTGGGCAGGAGATTCCAATCCCGTCTGACGTCAGAACCCACGTTCTCCTGCAGGGCCTCCTGGAAGTCAGGGTCTGTCCCGGCCACCCCATGCCAAGCCTCCGTGGCCCACAGCAGCCCCTCCAGAGGTTTGAGGGCCGAGGGGACCATCCATCGCCCTAGTAGCCCGGTATCCACAGGGGTCCAGGACACAACCCTGCTCATTCTGAAGGCAGGCCCCGGGGCTAAAGGTGCACCCTGCTGTGGCTTTGATGAATCATTTCATTTTCTGAGCCTCAGTTTCCTCCTCCAAACCAAGCCCAGGAGCTGCTGGCTCTGGCAAACCATTAGACGTGTAAGAACTCAGCAGCCTGAGTCGGTGGGTGCAGCAGCTTGGGGGAGGGGGAGGGAGCTTGGGGGCTGACAGAGAAGGGCACGCAGCTGAGCAAGCCCGGAGTTGGTCACGCGCCTGCGGTGGCTCATGTAGGGTGAGTGAATTGAGGGCTTCGTGCCACGTGTCTGGCAGTCACCTGCGGCCTAGATTGTGCTGATGCAGGTGGTGGGGGGCGCGGGGCGCGGGGCCCACGTACCTGAGGGTGCACGCCTGGAGCACGGGTGTGTGCACACCTGGACCAGAGGTCAGGGACACAAGGTGGCACCGAGGCTACGAGTGATTTCAGGAGAGGGGAGACCACGGGAGAACGCCAGAGAGAGCCCGGAGAAAGGAAAGTCCGCGGGGGCTGGGAGGCTATCGCTGCCTGCTCCCACCCTGTCCCCTGCCCAGCCTGCGCCAGCCTCCCGCCACATGCGTCTGGGCACCTGGTTCCCTGAGAGCCTCAAGGCCCAAGAAGCCCATCAAGGGCTCCGGGACGCTCTTCATCCATCTGTCCGAGTCCAGAGTGACCCTGCCCTGCGCCCGCTGACACAAGCATCATCCCGGACTGAGACGCTGTACCCAGCAGGCCAGGAGCAGAGGATTTCCCAAGTTGCTTCCCTGTATGCCCAGTGCAGGTGTCACTGTCTGCTCCAGGCTGCCCTGTCAGAGCAGAGAGGCCTCTACCTGCCCGCATGGGGCCTTGACCTTTGGCCCCAGTCACTGTGGGCCCCAGGCTCTGGCTGCCAGGGTGGTTCAGGGCAGCAGGGGATCTTCCTGTGAGCACAGCTCTGTGCCCCCTGGTCCTGGAGATAACAGAAGGGGAGCCTTTTTGCATGTGACCCCCACATACTGAGGCAAGTTCTGCACCCCCACTTTCCAGATGAGGAAGCTGGAGCTCCGCTGGCAGAGAAATTGCCAGTGGTCCTGAGACTGGCCAGTGGCCAGAAAGGTGCTGCCCGGTGAACCCCTTCTTCCCTCAGCGCTTTGCCTGAATCCAGTCAAATCTCCCCACAAGTCAAGAGGGAGAAACTTCCAAGAAACAGGAAAGAGCCCACAGCAGATTTATTTTTCCTTAGATAAATTTTGTACAGAGTATGTTACAGTTGGGAGGTCTCAGCTTTCCCCAAAAGGTCAGAAGTTATTGCATTTGTGCCCAACGGTTCTGGTGGTAGAAGGAAACTTCTAGAAAGCTGCCTGTGTTCCGGAGGATCATTTAAAGTTGTGGGCCTCCCACAGAGGGCCACGCTGGGGTGGGGGCCCGCGAGCAGGCAGGAAGGAGCATGGGGCGACAGTGGCCTGGGCTGGGGTGGGCTGGGGGCCACCTCCCTACCAGAAGCAGCGCCCAGCTGTCTGGCCAGAGCCTGGCAAGGGGAGCAAAAGAGCCAGGACCACCGGGCGCCTCGGAGCCCTGGCTGCTGGGGTCTGTGGGCGTCTCAGCCCCGCCGAAGCGCCTGCAGCCGGTGGGCCACCTTCTCCAGCTCTGCCTCTATGACTGACAGGCTCTCCAGCTCCTGGTCCTGGGAGAAAGCATCAAGGTCAGGCAGACCGACCCCAGGGAGCTGTGCCCACACGGAGCGCAGTCCAGCAGACTGGTTGTGCCGCTGGTGAGCTGTGTGACCTTGAACAGGTAGCTTTGCCTCTCTGAGCCTCAGGGCCTTGTCTGTATTTTGGAGACTGTGATGCCGTCTCCTGCCAGGCTGCCCTGAGGAGTGTCACCCACAAGAATGTGGGGGTGCAGAGGCAGGACAGACCCATGGAAAAGGCAGCCTCCCGTGCCCTTCAGAGGCCCTTCCAACCCTCCTGTCCCCGGGCTGGCTGTGGCTACTGTGGCCAGGGTGAGGCCAGGCCTGGATTTCCTGTCTGCTTCAGGCTGCCCTGTCAGAGCAGAGAGGCCTCTACCTGCCCGCATGGGGCCTTGACCTTTAGCCCCAGTCACTGTGGGCCCCAGGCTCTGGCTGCCAGGGTGGTTCAGGGCAGCAGGGGATCTTCCTGTGAGCACAGCTCTGTGCCCCCTGGTCCTGGTACCCACAAGGCACGGCCTTGGGCCTGACCCCACAAGGCATGGCCTTGGGCCTGAGCAGAAGAGAGGGAATGCACGCCTCTGCCTCAACTTGGGAGGGGTGTCTTCCAGGGGTCCCCCCACATGCCAGGCTGTGCAGGGCATGCACCTAGGGCCCAGGGGAAACCAATGGCCAAAGGTTATCATGGAAGTTGGGGCCCTTGGCACAGGAGCTGGGGTTCGGGGAGCTGCTGGGCCATGTCTAAGAAGCCCTTGACACTGGTGGGGAGATGCCAGCCTGCCGTGCACACGACTCTGGGTTCCCACCTTCCACCTTGTGGGCCAGGCCTCCCCCACCTGGATGAGAGAAGCCGTGGACAGGACAGGGCACCTAGCTTCCTGCCACTTCCGAGAGGGCAGCGGGGTGGCCACAGGTGCCAGGACCTGCCCTGAGCCCAATGATGCTTCCCCCTCCGTCTCCTGGGGACACAGGCAGATGCCCTCTCCCAGTTCCAGATGCCAGGGGCCTCCTCCTCACCTGCCAAAGCCCTGGGCGAGACCCAGAGGCAGGGTAGGGCCCGAGGAAGGGGGCAGAGGCCCCTCAGGCAGGTCCCCCGGGCCCGACCCCCACTCCAGGTAGTGTCAGTTGCCTGCCAGGGACCCCAGCTCCCACCTCACCGCCCCCCATGGGCTGTGACCCTAAGTAGTGCTCCCTAAGTAGTGTTCTGACCATGATAATGAGGTGATCCTTTCCCTCCACTTCCCAAATGGGGGAGCAGTGAGGCTCCGGGAAGAGGACTGACCCACTCAAGGTCACACAGCAGGCAGGAGGCAGAACCCAGGCCTCTGGCACAGATCTGAGTCCCCTCCCGGCCTCACCCAGACGGTGCTCCTGAGCTGCCAGAGGCCAGGAGAGGACAGGCGTGACCGCTCACATCTGAGTGTCCCCTCCTCCCAGGCGCCCCGTTGGGCCACTGTGCCCGGGCCGGGATGCCCGTGCAGCAAACAGCCCTCCCCGGCCAGTCCTGCAGTGTCCGAGGTCTCCATGCAAAGGCCGGGCCCCACTGCCGCTTCAGGGCCAAACTCCGTCCAGCTCCTGTGGCGAGGGCTCAGCCCTCCGCCTGCCCCGCTGACAGGCCAGCAGCTTTGCGGGGCGCCCTCTGCGCGCCGACCACTTCGCGCCTCCCTGCCGCTCTCCTACCCCGGCTCTGTCCCAGCCCAGACCCTCTGGGGGGTCTGCCCTGTCTGAGCGCCTCCCTGGGCCCAGACTGAGGGACCCTTAGAGGGGTGGGGGCACACGCGTGGTGCAGCTGCCCCAGCTGGCCCCTCCGGGCCTGGCCCCGCTGACCCCGCCCCATACCCACCTCTGCCCTGCGGCTGGCGCTGCCCTCCTCCTCTTTCCTTTCCTCCGGGAAGCCTCGCGCCGGAAGGGGCAGGCCGGCCTCCACACTGGCCTCCTGGGAGGCAGGCCTCCAGCCTCGTCGCAGCTGGGGCCTCGGGCCCCGGGAGTCATAGGCCCGGGTCCGGAAGGAGAGCTTCATGGAGCGGTCTGGGTCATCCTGCTCCCCGCCAGCCCCCTCCTGGCGCTTCTCGGCCGCCAGCTCCGTGGCCAGCTGGTCCATGGTGCTCCACCGCTTGGCGTCCTCCCACGCCTTGGAGAGCCGCTCCTCCTGCTCCAGCTCCCCACTCTTCCCGCCTGGCAAGAGACCTGCAGGGGCCCCTGCTGTCTCTTTCTCCTCCTCCTTCTCCTGCTCCCCCTTCCCCTTGGGGGGCTGGGCCTCCTCAGCCCCCGTCTTCCTGGCTCCGTCCAGAGCCTCCGGCCAACCTGGGACAGGCGGTGAACAAGAGGTGAGTGGGCAGGGGCCGCCACTTCCCCGTTCTCGGCAGACCCGGGTCCTCTCTGGCCACCATCAGATCTCAGACAGCAGCTCTCGGGGCCCAGCGCAGCCTCTGCAAGGTGGGCGTCCCTTGGAGGGCCAGGGCCTCCTGCTGCGAGCTCTGCATGGCCTGCTCAAAGCCCACAGCAGTGGGCAGGGCCCGCCTCTGCCTAAGCTCTTCTCCCCATAGTCCCTGGCCCTCGGCCACCCAGCAGGGTGGGCTGGGAGCCAGAGAAGAGACCTGCCAAGCCGTCGGTGGGTCCCTCCCGGCACGCCCTGCAAAGCCCCTCTCCTCCTGTGATGGGGTGGTCCTGTGGGGACCGTGGGACATGGTGGGCTTCTAGTCAGCTTGTACCATGAATGAGCTGACCGTGGGCAGATTACTTCACCTCTGTGAAATGGAGCTGACAGCGACCTCCGAGCTGGCGGCGGAGGTGGGGTGAGCTTGTGGGCATGTGCCCTCCCACCCGGCCCCCCCGACGCGCGTCCAGGTCCGTCTGCATGCGCGGCCCTCTCACCTCTCTGGGTCTCCTTGTAGCTGAAGCTCTCGGGAGGACTCAGGGCCGTGGCAGGACCTTCTTGCTCCAGGCCAGCCTGCTGCCCCGCCTCCTTGGCCTCCTCTCCCTTTGCCTGCTGCCCCTGCTCCTCACGCGGGTCCTTCTCTCTGTCCACCAGATCCCGAGAGGGGCCCTCGCTGTCCCCTTCGGTCTGCGAGCCTGGGGCTTTCTCGTTGGGGGGGGTGGTCAGGAGGTGGGTGCCGGCGGCTTCCCCCTCCTCCCCTGGGGCCTGGTCATCCTCTACCTTGGACCCCTGCTTGGGCTCAGGGGAGGCCCGAGGCCCATCCCCAACCACGTCTTCACCATTCTGGTCCACCTCCGCAGAATCTCCTCTTTTCTCTGTAGTGTCTTTGAAGGACATGTCTTCTGTCCCCTCTGCAGAGACAGCAGAGTCAGTCAGGCCCCACGGACCTGGCACGCGTGGGCTCGGCCCCGGGCCCAGTTCAGATCTCCTCGCTGGCTGCAAGCCCAGCCGAGGCCTGTGGGCCCTGGGGCTGGGCTCTCCAGGTCTGCGCCGGACCAGAGCACAGGGGGCGGGTGGTTCTTGCCCTGTCCTTCTTAAAGCAGGACAATATATATACCTAAGACCTTGACTATGAGCCCAGTAGGTAAAGGTCTGAATTGAAATTGAGGCCCTCAGCTGGACTGCTGTGTGGTCTTGGGCAGGTCCCTAACCTCTCTGTGCAAGAGGCACAATCACTGCGACTTTATTCTCCTCTCGTGTGGGGTTCTCTGTGGGGTGTTCGCGAAAGCGTGCAGCTCCTCTCAGTATTTGTAGGGTTCTGCTAAAAGGCATCTTGAAGACAGCCCTGCTGTCACTAGAGTAGTTACAAAGCACCCCCAAGGACATCTCACCCCCTGGACCCCCGGGCCCCGGGTGGGAGTGGGTCCACCCTCGTTATTGTAAAAATCCAAACTGATCCTTAGAAAGGTGAGTGACCTGTCTGTGATCACGTGGTCTGGAGGCAACAGAACTGAGCCCAAACCCAAGCCTCCGCGTCTCCAGTGCAGGTCGCTGGGCTCCCAAGGCCACGCCCTACACAGCTTCCCTGCAGCCACCCACAGAGCCTGGAGCCATGCAGGAGTCCAGGCAGCGCCCCAGGCAGCCACTAGGGGGACAGCCCTGGCCTAGCTGAGGTCCCCCCAGACTGAGACCTTTGAGACCCCGCTTCTGGGAACCGGCCACCCCTACCCTCTTTTCCCAGCAAGGAGCAAGGCCGGTGGGGGCAGTTTCCAGCTGTTTCCAGGCACAAAGATGTGTCTCTGAGCTTCACGTTGACCTAACTCTTTGACCCCTAAGAGCTCTCTGGTTTCAAGAAAGATGATCCAGATTCATTTCATGCTCCCAACCTAGTCCTCTGGGATCCTCAATGGCACCCCAAGCCCCAGGGGGGAGCTGCAGGGGGGCAGCCCTGTGGTAGTGGCCACTGGAGAGTCAGGGCTGAGGCCTCCGGCCCTGGGATCGCCCCTGGCCTGGGCAGATGGGGCTCTGGGTAAGATGACCCAGACTCAAATCTCCAGCTATGCCGCCACTTTGGGCAAGGCACTTGACAACCCGGGGCCTCAGTTTCCCCGTGTGTAAAGGGTCTCAGAGAGCAGCTCCTGCCCCCGGGGCTTCTCAATCCGTCATAACCCCTGTTACCATCATCTCTTCCCTCCCCAGACGGCGCCACTGACCCTTCAGCTGGCCCCTCTGCTTCCCCACAACCTCAGAGAGTTCGTCTTCAAAACTGCTGTGCTTCTTCTGCTGGTGAGCGCGCTCCTTGGCACCTGAGAGGAGAAAAGGAGAAAAAGACCAGACCCTATTTGGTCTGAGCCGAGCCCTGCACATTTGTCTGGGAGAGCGAAGGCCTCCACTCCCTCATCTGTAAATGGGGTGCGTAGTGTCCAGGGCCTGCCCGGCGGGAAACTGAGGGGTGGGAGCTGTGGGGGGTGCGCGGCCACCCCTGCCCCCGCCCAGCAGGGCCCATATGGTGGTTCCCTCCTCCCCACACTCAGCTTCCCACCCAGGACCTGTGAACAGCCCAACCCGGGGCAATAGAGTCTCAAATGGAGCTGGGGTTCCTGGGGTGCGAGTAGAGTGGGGGCCCCCTCAGGTCCTCCCTGGTAGGTAGGGACGCTACAGCAAGCGGTAACAGTGCTTGTCTCCCTGGGGGGCAGGGGGAGCTCTTGATTCAAATCCCCCACTCCCCGTGACTCGAGTCCAGGACCCTGGGAGGAGGCCAGGCTCTTGCCTGTGTCAGCCACTTGGGGGGCTCCTGCCGCTGTGACCCAGAGACCCCGTCCTCGGGCAGCCCCAGCCCAGCGCACCTCCCCACCTGTTCCCACCCCCCTCACACACACCCCCCCTGCCTGGATGGCCCTTCCCTCTGGACAGCTCTGTCCCTGGTGATGACTTTTTCCCATGATGGGAATTTCTGGGGTAACCAGAGGAGCCCGACATGGAGGTGGTGGCCCCAGGGTTTGTGGGATCGGGCCCGGACAGACCTGGGCCCACACCTCCTAGCCTCGCTCTGTGACCCCGGTAGCTTGGGCTCCCCGCCGTCTGTTGTCATCTATAAAAAAGGGTTGCTGCACCGAAAGTGCTGAGCTGGACAGACGCGAGGGTGGTCTGGGGGAGCGAGGGGCATGGGTGGGTGGTGGGCAGGATCTCAGTCTCCCAGCCCTGTGTCCTTTCCTATCGACAGCAACAATTCCCAACAACGGCGGATGCCGTTTATACTGGGCACACACAGCGCCTCGTGCATGCAGGTATTTCAGGGCATGTTAGTAACTTCAGAGTAATAGTAGTCGTTCAATGCTTGGTTTTCTTTTAGTCAATTATGAATTGACTTTTAAATTTGGGTTTTTTTAAGTCGCGGTGACACTGCTTCCCGGCACTGGCATGATGGACGGGGTGGGATTGCACCCGTTCAGGTTGGGGTTCACAGCACACCCAGCACAAAGCACCTGCGATCTCCCACCACAGTCCTGTGGGCCTCTCTCCCCTGGGTTCCTCACCCTCACCCTCAATATTTATGTTTAAAATGATGGTACTGTAGTAAATCAGTGCATGTTCAGTTTTTTTAAAATACCAGGTTGGTGTTGGCAAAATCAGTGAGGCAGGTAGTAGCAATGCCAGCTCCCCCTCCCCCGTGCCAGGCTCGCCTCAGACTCAGACCGCACCTGTGGTGACAGTTGCCTCCCAGGAGGCTGAGGGGAGGCTGTGTTGACTTGGGGAGGCCACAGGGGCCTGCCTGCTGGGGTTATTTTCACTCGCTTCCTCTCCAGATCTCTCCCTATTCACACGGGGCCTCAGACCAGGGGCTTTTGGGGTGAAGCGGCATTATGCCCACCCCCAATCCCTCCCTATCCAAGACAGAACAGCCCTGAAGAGGCATCCTCATTCTCTTTGGGTGTAGCTGTGAGATTCAGGCTTGAATCTCAGGGGGAGACTCGGCCCTGTCCCCAAACAAAAGGCCGCTTCCCCAGGGGGTCATCCTGGCAAGAGGTGGCCCAGACCACGTGTCCCAGTTTGCCAGGGAGGGATCTTTGCCTACCACGAACCCAGGAGATTGTCTGGCACCAGGAAGAGTCACTAACTGTGGGGTGACGTCGTCCTCACGCTCTATCCTAGCACCCTGCCCAGGCTCTGGAATGCCTGCAGTGACGAGGAGCTCGCTCTCTTACAAAGTCCTCATTCTCAAGAACATGAGTGGGTTCTCAATCTCTTGGAGATTCAGTCCTCTTGCTGAAGTGCCCTAGGAGTCTGCTCTGTGTTTGGGGGAGGCTCAACCCTGCTTCCCCAGCTCCCCTGAAGCAGAAACTCACAAGGGAAAGGATCCTTCCCCTGCCTGGAAACCAGTTGCAGGTGGCGGGAAAGGAGTCCTCTTTGCAGTCCCGCCTGAAAGCCACTCTGGACAAGCTCCAGAGACTTCAGGGCATTAAGACAGTTACAGCTGGCCCCGGCATGTCCCTAAGTCACTGTGACCTTGGGCAAGTCCTCAAACTTTCTAGGCCTTGCTCCCTTTATGCCAACGCATGGGGCCAGGAGCACCGAGACCCGCCTTTCCGCTCCACCACGGGAAGGAAATAACTGAACAGCAGAAAGAAACTTTGCTCAACCCTCCACCCTGGTTTTCTGATTCTCAGCTCCTGGGATTTATCCAGACCCATGTGCAGTGGCTGGAAAATACCTTGGAGAGCGAGGTCTTGGAGCTCTTTCAGCAAATTCTGATGTCGCAGGATGGAGAGGATCCGTTCGTCTGCAGTGAGGAGTCGTTATGGGTGGTTTCCAGAGAACAGCGAAAACAGATTACCATCAATATTTTCAGCTGAGCACATGGAATTTATTCTGCAAACTCAAAATCTGGGTGGCAGCAACAAGATGGGGCTGAGATAACACTTTTGAAAGCAACTCCTTTCAGACGTGCCCACCACTCTTCCACCATCAGAAAGACCAGCGCTGGCTCAGCACACAGACCTCAGCCGGGAGATGCAAGAGGCGTCTGGACACGACTTGCTCCCCACCTCCAGGCCTTTGCTGGTGCTGCCCGAACCTAGAGTGCTCGCTCTCATGTTTCTAAGTCCTGATTTCTGACCCTTCTCTTAGAGCCAGCCCAGATATCGATGTCAGGCCCATCCAACAGCTGGCTGAGACCTAACTGCCATGGTCCACGCCGTGGTCACCTGCCACTCTGACATCAGCCAGCTGTCAAGGACTGTTGTAGCTGGGAATTTAGCACGCAAAACCCTTGTTTGAGGGGGGGGGCTTGCATGCCAGCCTGCTTTTGTTGTGCTGAGAATTCTACTCAGGCGGGTGCCTATCTGTCTACTCTTGCCTCACAGGGGCTGTGGCCTCTTCTTCACCCACTCAGACACCAGCACAGGCCTGGCCGAGTTCAGCCCATGGCCAGTGACTGCTGAATGAAATTGCTGATGTCTATCAAAGCCACACACCCTTCTCCTGCCTCCCTGGCTGGCAGCCCTTCCCCGCCGGCCCCGTACCTCCTCGGAGGGTCTCGAAACACTCCTGGCTGACAGGCATGGGGCTGGGCTTGGAGAGTGTGTCAGAGATGACCTCAACGATGCACTTCATGACCTGGGAAGAGAGGGGGCAGGTTGGAGTGGGCTGGGCTTGGGGCTCAGGGCCCAGAGGCTCTGGGGCCAACTTCCCAGAACATCAGGGCATTTGCTTTTAGATTCAGAGTCCACAGCTGCCTGGCTCAGGGACACAGCTCTGCTTTCTTAACTGAACAGACCACTCTTCTATGGTGTTTATGACATGCCAAGCACCTGGACCCCAGGGGCCCCTCTGAGGTGGGGTAGGCTCCTGTCACCTTCTTCCCCAGTGTTACTGTAAGGACGGGAAGCTGCTCCGAGGCATTGCAGTTACACCTTGCCAAAGCCCTTTAGTCTTGAAGTGCCTCAGAGATCAGCGACTCCCATGAAGCCTTCCCGGAATACCCAGAGGAGAACAAAGACCTTCCCTAGTTCTACCCTGTCTGGAAACAGGATCTGGATTCCTCTCCCCCATTGTTCATGGCATTGTCACATCCAGGGGTGACAGCCTCACAGTCTGATTCCATGTTCACCCACAGATGACCCCCCTCCAAGGGTGTGGGTACGCATGGCTATCCCATAGCAGACTCACAGCAGCCATGTCTCTGAAAGGCTTGTCCAGTGCCCAGCCAAGTGCTGTGGGCAACTAGGCACTGCTGTGTGGCTGACATGTGCCTGTGGCGCCAGCTAGGAGCAGGACCCAGCTGTGTGATCTCAGGCACGGGACTTGATTGCTCTGAGCCTCAGTTTCCTCATTTGTAAAATAGAAGTTGAGAAGACTTTGCCAACTCCTGAGTGAAGAGGCACAGATGGAAAAATACTCTATAAAGCACGAAGCCACACGCACGCACGCACACGTGTGCACACGCACCGGGAAAGCAGCCACAACTCCAGGCCTGCTTCAGCTGCTAGAGCCAGGCAGAGGAGCAGAAGGTGTCAGACATGCATCAGGCGGTGTTGGGGGGACGGGGAATCTGTGGGGTGCCAAGGCAACTGCTCCCAGGATCCAGAATGGCATCTGGCACACAGGCTTTGCGGTAATCACAGCACCTAGGCTGGAGCACTCAGGTCTCAACCAGCTGCGCGGGTGCCCTCAGCCCAGGCTCCTGACTCGGGTACGGTGACCCAAACAGCAGTCCCCAACAGGGGTCTGGCACAGTGCTGCATCTGTACCCTGTGTCCCCCTGTAGCCTCAGACCTTGCAGTGGGGTTATCCTACCCCCTGTTCAGAGGCCCACATCTGGGAGAGAGAAATTGGGTGTCGGTCCCAAGAGATGGGAAGATCATGAAGGAGAGTTCTAGGAATAACGGTGCCTGCTTACTGGAACCTACTGTGTGCCAGACACCTCGCCACTCCAATTCCTACTCCTCACAATTCCCGTCGAGGGGCAGGCCCAGAGAAGTTAAGTCATTTTTTCAAGATCACACAATTAAGATGAGTGGTAAAGGTTTAAATCCAGCCTGTCTGCAACTAAAAGACAGGAAATGTAACTGACCAAATTGAAGCTGCAATCTCTTTGATGCTTTGAGTTTTAACTGTATTCTCTCTGGCAGAAAACAGCTCCTGGAAAGGTGGGAAGTAGAACTTTTCTGACTCTCTTTCTCTGTGTCTCTTGCTGACCACCGGACCCTCAGGTTCTCCTGAGGCTCCTTGCTGAGTAGCCTCCCTCAGCCCCAGCTGATCAGGACTCTGACTACAGGAGCCATGATCCAGAATATTCTCGCTTTCGGTGGCCCTTTAGGAGAGCCACAGCTTGAGTGTCTGGGTGGTGGGGATGTTGCTGGCAGGGCCTACAGGCAGAGGCTGAGCTCAGGGGGAGGCCAGAGCCAGGCAGGGGACAACTAAAACCACAGAGAAGCTGCTCCCCACTACCACCCAGAGTGAGCCTACCAGATTGGGGTGTTCAAGACAGCTGGCCTGGCACCTCGTCCCAGGGGAAAAGACAGCCACCTGGGACAGCACACCTCGCTGGGAGGAGCTGTCCCCACAGCAGGAGAGAGGGGACAGGCGGCCTTTGATCTTCTTTCCCAAGCTGTCCCTGGGCTCAGCAGCCAGCCGCAGTGCTGGCTCTTGGCTTTATGCCAGACCTGTTCCTGCAGCTTCCTGCAGCTGCCCAGGAATGGGCTGGGAGATGTCCCTGGGGCCTCCCACCTCCCATCCAGAGGCACCCCCACACCCTCCTTACCTCCGTGTCCCCTTTACTCATAGGGCTGTTCACAGGGAGGGCAGTAACTGGGGAGAAAAAGAATGGGGGTTACTGCTCTGCTCCCAGGGGGAGAGCCCAGTTCTTTCCCACCATGTTCACTGGGGGTCCATTCACCCCAGCTGTCCCCCTCCAAACTGCCCCAAATGAGATGCTAGAGATGATTTTGTTTTTCTTCCTCAGCTACTGACCCTGGGGAGGGAGAAAGGGGCCCCCAGAGGCTTTTCACTGAGCCTTCCCCTTCCCCTTTGGGGATGGTCCTGCTCTGGAGGGGGTGTGGGAACTGAAGTCAAGAGGTATGAAAACAAAGCCAACTGCTGATTGAAATTAGGTTGGGAAAGAATGCAGGGAAAGGGAGCGAACCCCTATGTGAGGGAAAAGGTGAGGTGGGGAAATGGAGGGGGGGGAGAAAGATTGTGAGTGATGCTGGGAGAGACAGACATCAAGGGCAGAAAGACAGAAAGAGGGAGGATGGAAGATGGAGGGAGGTGAGAGAGGGAGTCAGCAGCAGTCTCCCACCTCCCCCCAATGACCTTGGCCAGCCAGGGGGCGGAGCTGGCGCCCGCCTTAGTGCAGCTCAGGCCTCAGGTGGGGGCGCCAGGGCCCCTGCCCCGCGGGGAAGGAAGTGGGGCCCAAAGAGTCCATTCAGGAGGGTTGAGGTTAGGAGGGAGGCACAGGCGCTGTCCCCGGTGCTGAAAACTTGCCGCGCTGAAGGGAAGATGAGGAGGGGGCTCGGGGCGCCTAGCGGTGCCCGCACCTCACGCTGGTGGGGCGACAGCAGACAGGGATGCCCAGGACCCTCTCCCCCGAGCTTTCTCACCTTGCCCGGCGCAAAGCAGAAGCGCCAAGACAGCGGCGCAACGCATGGCGAAGCCCGGGCGCCGAGCAGCTGGCGGTCTGAGGCCAGGCATGGCCGCTACCCTGGCGAGGGGTGACTGGGCAGGCGCACCGGGGGCAGGCTGCTGGGGGCGCTGGCGCAGAGGAGGGGGGCGTAGCGTCTCTGTGTCCAGACGTCTTTCAATGAGCCCACCAGCCTCTCTGCACGGGCTAGAGCACTGCAGTAGTAGCAGCAGCAGCGGCAGTTCTCGCGCGCACTCCCCCTTATATATACCCGAACCGGAAATGACGTCATAGGACCGCCCCTACCCCCCCCCCATCCCTGTAGGGGTCGAGCGACTGTTCTTTCCACCTGCTGCACGACACCTTTAGCCTCTGGCCCAGCTGCTCACGACTAGTGCGTGAGGCCACCAGGCAGGTACCCGGGTTCCAGGAGGTGGCAAGAGGGACGAGGCTGATCCCTTACTGTGTCACTTTCAGCGCTAAAGCACCGTTCCATGCTCTTGAAGTCCCTTCTGAGGGGCATGCTTCTCCTGATCTCTCTGGATGGAAGCACCTCCTCACATCTAGGAGACCCTCCAGAGACCTCGCAGCTGCCCCCTGTCTGAGTGAGGGCCCTCCTTCTCTGTCCCTCTGCAGCGCAGTTTTGTGCCTACACAAATTGTAGCTCTGTGTACATATGTAGTTGACTTAAATAAATTGAAGTAAGCAGAAATAAATACACTTATTAAAGAATCAAGACTAAGAAGTGGTCTGAAGATAGGTCTGGAAAAGCTGGCAGAATTCTGAGGATTTTAAGCAGTCTGGAAGGAAAACATTTTCCAGGATTTTTACAAAGTATGGGTGGGTGTAATGTATCTACCGATGTTATCTATGGCTGAGGAAAACAGAGGGCTGTTAAAATTTACCTTCACCAGAGCTACGTCTTCTGGAAAGTAGGGGTTGTAGCAATGAAATATTTCATTCTTTAAAGTTACTGACTTGCCCAAAGGCAAATTTTTGTTGTCAATGATGCAGCTTCTTCACAAAACCAGACCAACTGTGTCTTGACTTTGGCTTGAGCCCCTAGCTGAGGCCAGGGAGAGGGATACTCACTTAGTTGTTAGCTTTGGCCGACAATCTGAATGCTTTTCAGTCACTGCCTTCACAGTGTGGAGTGCAGCACCTGCACAGAGCAAACTCACTCACTGGATAACTGCGAACAGTACTGGTTGAAGGTCCAGCTCATGGATAAATGGATCATTGATGGGTCATTGCTGGGGAGCTCTTTTGATGGCTAATGAGGAAGGAATAGGGGACACTTCTTAATATGAAATCCAAGCAAGAGTTTCTCGCACCTTCCATGCATCGGCTCTATTCAACCCCTTAGAATTGCCTTCCTGCCTCTGGCAACACTGCGTGTATTTGAGAACAGCTTTTGAGTGATCTCAAAACCTGGGTGTTTTGCATATCAGATTGGATTCCTGGTTTGTTTTCATCTGCCCTCAGGCTGTCTAGGGAAACCAAAACAACTCTATCTTGCACAGACAGCATCTTTAGCCCTTGAGCAAGTAATTGTCCTACCCTGGGGAGAGGACAGATTTCCCATTGCTTCTTTGATGTGTGTTAATCTGGACTATGATCCATACACAACTCTGTTGATCTTAGTAGAACAAAGACACCATGACATGGCCCCTCCCCAGACATCTGGCATCAGTAGTTTCACACAGGACAATCACATTCACATTTCAGGTGTGTGTACTTGCCACAACAGTGTCCTATTGTCTGTCAGGTGTGAGTTGTCTGTACCCTATAAGACAGTGTGATTCCCTTGTACATACTTTTTTAAAGTGTTGTTTTTTTTTTAAGATTTATTTATTCATGCATACAGAGCTGGGGTATAAGCCAGAGGTTCAGGGGTGGTGAGAGGATTCACCAGAGACAGAGCTGGGAACAGAACAGGCAGATTGACGGAGTACACAGCTGAGGGGAGCAGCAGGGAGACAGGAGAGGTCTGTTGCACCATGTGAGTCACCTCCCAGGGCGGGGATCGAACTGGCATTGAAGCAGATGCAGCCAGCTTACAGTGCTGCATCCTAACCTGTTGCACCCCCAGAGAGGGCCCCCCTTATACATACTTTTATTGTTGTCCTCTTGCCTTGATGATAAAATAATGATATTTAAAACTTATTGTTGAGAGAATAACTGGCAATATACAGAGCTACTCAAATTTTAGAATGATATCTCTGAATATGTATGCATGAAGAAGTAGATAAAACCTTTTCAAGATGGCAAAAAAAAAAAACAAACACACACACACACACAACAAACAGCAACAACCTTGTGGTCATACTTAGTAGGGAGAGTATAAGAAGATCCCTGTCAAGGTGTGAGTTATGGAGCCAGTCTTCACCCCAAGTCTTTGGTGCTGAAGACGCCTGCATGTAAATTTTCCTTCATATACTCTAATTGTGCTTAATAGATATGTCTGCTATGTTGTTGGGTTCAAGTGACCTCATCAGTTTGGGGAACCTTATTTTTTCCCATAGCCACACAAGCCACCTTGGAGAGCCTTCTCCACCTGACCCCACTGTCGTGGTAAATCTGATGCTAGGCATCAGATGATATCATCCAGGAGCCTTCTTCTTCCTGTGTCCCTCCTGCCATCTGCTGTTGATACTTCCTACTTCCTGCCCCACACAGGTGCACACTCCCACCCATAAAAGAGAGCCAGGAAGGAGCTCAGGAGAGACATATGGTCCTATTCATCCACATACTCATTCACTCAACAGCTATTTGTTAAGCCTGTGCTCTGTGCTTTGAGCAGCACTCTGCTGTTCTAGGTGCTGAGGTTACTCACAGCAGTGAACAAAACAGCTTGGTCCTTCGGGATTTGCAGTCTAAAGGGAGAAGATAATAAGTAAAAAAAAAAAATGTCAATGCATAGTATGTCAGGTAGTAGCAAATGCTATGGACAAAAATGAAGCAGGGAAGAATAGTGTATGGGGGAGGGATGGGTTATATTTAAACTTGGTGCATCTAAAGAGGTCTCATCAGGAGGTAGCATTGCAGCAAAGACCAGACAGAAGTTGGTGTGTCCAGGGAAAGAGGCTCCAGATAGAGGGAGAAGCAGGAGGAGTGCAAGCTCAAGGGACAGCCAGGAGGTGGAGAGGAAGGGACCTGGAGAGGATAGCTGGACAGCAGCACTCGCTCCAGCTCAAAAACTTAGAAATACACAGAAATCTGGGAAAACGCAATCATACCACTCCCTGCTCATTTTGAAGTGTTTTCTTGAAGTCTTTGTTAAAGTAGCTACCTAGGGGCCCTCCCTGGTGGCGCAGCGGGTTAAAGCACTGCACTGAGAAACTAAAGCCACTTCCGCATGAGTTCGATCCCCGCCTGCCCCGGAGGTGACCCACATGGTGCAACAGACCTCTCCTGACCCGCCCGCTGCTCCCCTGAGCAGTGTACTTCATCGATCTGCCTGTTCTGCTCCCCGCTCTGTCTCTGGTGAATCCTCTCACCCTCTGTATCTCTGGCCTGTACCCCAGTTCTGTATGAATAAATAAATAAATCTTTAAAAAAAAAAAAAAAGTAGCTACCTAGGTAAAGCAGCCTTTCTCCTGAAAGTCTTAGCTGGGCCCAAAGACTAAGGACCTTCGGCTTTTCTGATGTGAGCTTTGCAATCTGCCTCCTCTCGCAGGTCCGATTAGAAGGACTAGCCCGTGTCATGAGTACTATGGCCACCACGATCCTAGGCTATACAGATAGAGCTGTGACCTACAGGTGGGTTTCTCTTGTTGTTTTTGTTTTGGTTATTAGAAAAAATAATCTTGCACACAAACCTTGCAATGATTTCATCTAACACTGGAGAAAATCCTCAATCAAAGAAGAGGACCCATCGCTCAACTACCTTGCAGGAAGTTGACCCACTCTCCAGGTTCAGCAGACTTTTCTCGTGAGAATTCTCAAAGCCACTGCCACCTGCCAGTTCTCAAGGACCCTGGGCCAGTTTGTCACCTAAAACTGAGCCAGCAACAATGTACCAAACGAGGCTTTACAAGAATCTTAGAACCTGGGTTTGCACTGTGCTTCTTTCTGGCGCTTCCGAATGTTCCAGGTTGTCCTGGATGCCACCCCCAGCTTAGAGTGGGGCTTGAGATCCTCTTGTGTAGTTTTATTGAGAACCAGGGTATCAAAGGAGCATCAAAGAAACCTCATATTCCTTTTTGTTGTTGTTGTTTTAAAATATTTTTTAATTTATGCATAAAAGAACTGGGGTTCAGCCCAGAATTGCAGGTGAGAGGATTCACCAGAGCCAGAGTGGGGAGCAGAACAGGCAGATCGATGAAGTACACTGCTGAGGGGAGCAGTGGAGGAGACAGGAGAGGTCTGCAGCGTCATGTGGGTCACCTCCTTGGCTGGGGATCGAACTGTGCTGCAGTGTTGGTGGATAGCTAAACAGTGCTGAGATTTAACCCCTTGTGCCACCACGGAGGGCCCAAGAACCTCATATCCCTTGATCTGATCTTTGCACTTTGAGCAGTATCAGTTTAGGTAAGAATGAACTGCTGAACAAAAGACTAAACTACTGTGAAATAAGATGGGCTCTTAATTCTCTGTCACACAACAACCCAAGAGTGAACAATCCCTATTCATGGAGTACCTCTGCTGTTCTCAGATTTGCATCATTGATACCAACACAGTGCCAAGGTTAATACAGGGTCTGACCTTCCAGATCTCTCAATACCAGCTACTCCAGATGGCACCATTTCTTGACCATCGTAAAGGTGAAGAAAGATAAATGGAAGCCAGGCAGCTTCCTTGCCAGGAAGATGCAGAACATGCACCCGTTACTTCCGCCAGCCCATTCACTAGAACTCAGGCATTGGACACACCTCGCTGTCAGGGAGATTACCCAATGAGAAGGGAGGACAAGGCGTTTTCTCTCCTATGTAAGGAGGTTTCTCTCCATCCCAGAGGGATGATGCCAAAAACTAACCCCCTGGAAGCTTACTAAGAACCAAGTGCTGTCCTCAGAGTTGCATGATCACCTGTGAAGCAAGAGCTTCATTCCTGTGCTTACTCATGGAGTTCCAGAAAGGAAGTAAGCCCGATGCTCAAGGCACAAGTATGTCACAAATCATTGTCTCCTGCATGCATCTGGTATGGAACTGATGTTGCACATCCTGGGGAGAATTGAGAAGATGGTCACACAAGTAAGTTTCTGTATTGCATGTTCTGATCAGGAACCCTGTATGGGCCTG